AGCGGGGCGGGGGGAGCCGCCAGGCTACCGGGCATCCCGCCGCCTTTGAACCGCTTGTCCCTGGCCTGTGTGGACAGAGTTAGGTGAGGCAGCGAGCCGGAGAGCATCAGCATTAGCTACCCCAGCAGCAGATAGGAAACGGGGAGTGAAAGGCAGCTCAAATCCAGTTTTCAGCATCGGACTAGATAGCAGAGGGAGGTTTACCCCAATTGGTGAGATTTGTTACATCAGCTAACTTGCACACTGAATTGGGCATAGTATCTGTGCGTGAAAGTGGCAGTTGGGGAGCAGAAATTAGATTTGCAGAGGAACAGGTGTGGTTTCTACTTCAGCTAATCACACAGAAGTGCCTTTTTTTCCAGATAACAAGTTCTTTAGCATGATACTGTCTGCTAGAATAATGCACACAACGATAACGATAGTAGGTTGCTGGCAAAACCCCTTATAAAATTGAGTATCAAGTACACCGAGAGAACAGCCTTACTCGTACAAACCATAAGGGATTTGCATAATCCGTACTAATCCGCCAGTCCCGTTAACTTCACAAGGATTGCTAGAACAGAATCTTCTTTGAGTTAAAAGTTGCAGAGTCAGATCCAGACTTTTCTAATAGGATACGTGGTCAGTGTAATCAGTAATACTGCAATGTATTTCTGTTGTTTAGGAGCTGAAAAGGGTTTAAAACATGTTGTGTATTTTCATCCTTTTCTCTGACAGCCAGGCTGAAAAGGTAAGTAAAAAATATAGTTGTTTCTTTTTGCAATTAAGTGTGAGATTGATTATATCTAATATACACTAAAGCACACTCTTTTAAAACCAGTAAGATTGATCAGAAATCACACCTAAATATTGGGATACGTGCCTTAAGCTTGCAAATTCCTTGAAGAAGCTATTCCAAAGCCATCTTCACAACCCTTTTTGCCTGGATAAGTATTAGATGTCATTTTAATTTTTCTTCTATGTGTTTATTTTCTTTGTTGTTAACTTAACTATACAACATGCACTTTTCCTTGCTTTGAGAAGATTTGGTTCTGCTGGTACCCAGCATTCTTTTTGTCTGTGGACACTTAGGGTGCTATATAAAGTAATGAGAGCTGGTGATCTGGGGCTGCGAGCATCTGTTCACTGTGACAGTACTTTCACCAAAGCACTAGGGCTGCACAGAAGTTAACTGTCAAGGACAGAATTTGGCCTCTAAAGATTTTTGCACCCCATATGGAAAAATCTGCACCCACGCCCTAGTTGGTTCATGCAGGCGTTTGGAGTCAGGTGTAAGTAACTGTCACCAGGGGGATATGTGGAAACCAGGGTGGGAAGAGCACTTCCTGAATGCTAAACAGTCTGTACAGGTCTCAGCTGCCCACTCCCTTAAAGGGGGGAGACAAAACCCAAACCAGTAATCTCCACTGTATGTGAATGCCTTCTATTTCAACAGCATTCTTACCTAAAGCCTCTCCTTTTCTGTGAAAGTAACATGTCCAACTTCTTTTCCACAGCCTGATTCCCCTGCCTTTTGGAGCTGCAACCTGTAACTGCTCCATTAATGTCAACTCCAGGTTCTGCATTGTGACCAATGTTGGTTTTATTTCCACTTCTGCTGGGATCTACATCCTCTGTGTCTTTCTCGGCTTGTTTCCTAGAGTTGCTGAAGGTTAACACTGAGATGCAAGAGTGGATTATTTTCTTTTCCGTCAAGAAGATACCTTTATAGTCTGCAGAGTTTGTCTGAGATCTTGTGTCAGAAGAGATAAAGACCCATAAAAGTGGAGTTCTCTATAAATTTCCACTTAGAATGGGTCTGGAAAGAAAAGTCCTGTTGGCTTCTAGAGGGGCATGGTTCACCACCCTGTTTGCCTAGGTCATGTCCTCCTTCAGTGCTCTGAATTCAGGCAGTGTTTTCACTCTAAAAGTAGAGTCTGGGCTCTAACACACCCCTGAATTAAATGACAGATTTGTCTTCAGTCTCTTCTGCTGCCCCATTTACAACTCCAGCACTGGTTTCATCACTTTGTTCTCACCTTTGGGGGCACAAACCTTACCATTTCAGATTTTACCTCCTTGACTGTATTTTTAGAATCCACCTCTCCCAAGTTCCCCCTATTGTGATAATAACCTTTTCTTGTTCCTTACTTCCTTTGTGAAAGAAATCTATTTCTCATGACAGGGGTAAGCTAGTAGAATGGACACTTAATGGCATCAGTGTCCGTTGATATATTGGCATCACAAGAGCAGCCCCCTCAGACTAGTTGCTGGTCACTGGCAGATGTGAGGATTGTTTGGCATTTATAGCAAATGGAGATCTGTTTTCCCCAGGGTCCCAGCCAGGACTGCTGGCTGTAGGATTACTGTTCTCAGTGCTCCTCTGGAGTTCCAGCCAGATGCCATCAGTTCTCCTGCTTCCTGTTGCTTCTAGCAGCTGTATCGTGTTGCTGTACAATTAGTTGGCTCACACAACCCCAGAGGTGCCTCGCTCAGACTTGTCCTATTCTTCCTCACGTAGGTGAGACCACAGGCATCAGGGGCAGGAGTGTGGGGGGCAGGTACCAAGTCAGGAGGCTCATGTGACAGAAGAGACTTCTCTGGTGCGAGGCTGCCGCTAGGCATTGTGTCACTGAGCTCTTCGGCTCCTTGTCTGCAGTGGTGTCTGTTCCCCCTGTTGTGAACCCAAAGAGCACCTAACTGGCAGGGAACTGCCCTTGTAGCTGAGACCTGGCTCAAGTGGACTGGCTGTACCTGACTCATGGAATCAGAGCTAGAGGGAGGCCGTGGGACAACTCCGAGAAATGAATTGGATATTTCTAATACCAGCACCGAGCTCTGATAGTTGAATGATCTTTGGCCTTTCTCAACACTTTTGGTTGTCTTTATTTCAGAGAACTGTATGTTGAATTAGTCATTTAATTCCATAGCCTTAGATTTGTAACAACTTCAAAACAGTCTCTCAAAAGCTGTTTCTCCCTCATTGTTTGCTCCTAACTCCCTCTTTATGTAGACACATTTTTCTTTAATCATTTGCATGTTTCAAACAATGTATGTGGTCAAGTTGTGACCATTTTGGCTCATCTGCTTCCGACAGCAACAAGTTCTTTGACTGCACTTGTTACGCTTGGATTCAGATGCCTTGTCTGAGTTTAGTTTCCCTAAGCAGAGACTTATGAGAATGAGTAAGAGGGTGGTGGAAATCATGGGACAGCAAAGGATGAAACTTGCCTCCTGAGGGGATCCCACTCTTCTGATTGGGTTCCTAACAAGTGTGTTGGCTTTGGTCAGGTCAGTGACTAGCATAGAAACCACTGTTCCTGTACAGCTGTACTTCTCTTTAGTTAGAGAGTTTATTTGGAAAGTTTATTATTCATACAGCTTTTTGTAAGTAGTTTGTCGGTACCTGGGCATCTAACACCCTGTGGGACAGCCTGTACCTATTTCAGGAGTATTAAACAACAAGGCTCAGCAGCTATTCTTAAAAACATTTTTGCATGGCCCTTATCTCTGCAAATTGGTAAGCTTTTCCTCTGCAACGCCACTTTCAGCCTGTCCCCAGAGACACAGAAGTCCAGCCGTTGTTTATGCGCTGCTATACGGCCCCTTTCATCGTGTCCTGCTCATCACCTGCCCATTTCATTTGCCAAGAAGCAGAAATCAAGCCTGGTTCTGAATTGCTCCTTGTGTCCCCCCTCTTCTTCCTCTTTCACTATAAGTTGTTTTCACAGTGAGGAGTCATACTGAGCCAGCATGTCTCACTCTTCCTTTGGTTTGACATAGAGAGTCTCATTTCCAGGCACAGCCAAATAAGGTTTGTTACAGCCTGGCTTATGGAAAGCCTAGAAAATGTTGATCAGAGAACCACAGTCTGGTCTGCCAGATTTGTAAGAGGTGTAGAGGAGGATTTCTGAAGTAATTCAGTAGTATTTCTGCTTTTGCCGTAAACGGTGCTTTGGGAATGTGGAACAGAAAATGCATGTTAAAAGGGATTAATAGTTTGTAGCTAATTCAGGAAATTTGTTCATATGAGGTTAAGTTGCTTCATTGTTGAACTGAGAATATATTTTATAAATAGATGTGTGTGAACCTGGTGAAGTCACTGAGATCGCTCAAGTAAATAAGCAGCTGTGGAACTGTGGCTTTAATTTAGTTTATGACTTCATAGTGAGGGAGATAGCAGAAACCTGAGAAATCATATGGTATTAGATAGAAAATGGCTGAAATTTGTTCTAAAAGTTGGACAGACCAGATGTCACACACAGATGCTGTATTCTGTAGATATTGCCTAGCCCTTGGAGATAAACGGGTGTAACATTTAAGGCTTTAACAGTTAATGTTGTCTGTGTCGAATGTTGAAAACTGAAAGCTTGATCCAAGGGCCTTTTGAAGCAGATGGAAGTAAATGAACTTCAGAGCTTTGCATCAGACCCTAACCACTCCCCCAAACCTCTTATTTTTTTCTTGAATGCCAAGTTATGCCATTTAATTTAAACCTCTTAATAAAGAAACTTTTGTCTCCTTCCTGTCTCTCCCAAATCCTCTTCTTTATCCTTAATGCTGTTTTCCTCCTCTTCATCATGGATTTATATTAAAATGACATTATTTATTAAAGCGCACAGGCTGAATTATTCATGCAGCACCTGCAGAAATCACAGGGACATTCTCCAGACTTCCTAAATACGTTAGTAAAATTGCACAGAACTGCGAGCTGGTGCTGTCATGTCTCACATACAACTCTGTCTCAGTCTTGAGACCACATGTAGGGGAACCGAGTTTAGAGTGTTTACAGGACCCCTCTAGATGTCATGCAAAGCGTGTTCTTTGATGGGGAGGGGGGGAACAAAGTATAGGACTGGGGTATCAGTGATGTTTCTCCATGTTTCTCCCTGTAGCTACAGTCACATTCATAACTGCTGACAGAGGCAGAAGGAGAAGTCAGCCTGCTCGAGACCAAGCCAAGCCAGTTTCTCCTGATAGTCCTTTTACTGACCTTCCTGAATGTATTTTGAGAAAACCTAAGAAAGCTCTTCTGTACACAGGACTTCTGAAAGCAGTGGAGTAACTTAGATGGGAGGAACTGTGCCAGCCACCCTTTAACAGGAGACTGCACTGGTGGAGGATCAGAGGTGACATCATCCTACTGGACTGTGTGTTTGTGTCCGCCTCTCGTTTCCATCCCTTCCCTCTTTCCCCACTGTATCCTTTAAGTCCACTAGCCAACCTCAATGAAATTTGACAGCAGAGCAGAAGTATTAGTGATATTCTTTAGGGAAATAAAATAGAGGAATGTATAGGCACGTAGGCTTCCAGGAAGGGAAGAAATGTATCAGTCTCTTTTAAGAGCAAGAGTGCATCAGCAGCTCAGTCTTTCTTAGACACCAGAGAATAAGTACCTGCACTTATCCTTGAGATGCAATTCTAGGAATGTAGACTTCATTGCTTTGGGACTGTCTTGGCACGAGTGATCTTACTGCAGTGCTAACACCAAGGATGCGTCTAGCCCATTAACTTCTGTGTGCTCACTAATCAACGCAACACAGAGATAATGTCCCTCATTATTTCTCTGCTTGGGGAAAAAAGTTTGTACAACAATGCTTGGTATCCTCTGAAGTTCATTCCTTTCCTGCTCTCCACAGCCTCAGATCTTCATTCTGTTGAATAACTGTTGTTCTGTCTTTACTACGAGAAGTAATTCATAACTAAAGCACTTTCCTAATAGCACTTGGTGGTACTTCATGCAGTCATTTTCTAAATTTCTAAATTTCTTAATTTCTAAAGACAACCTGAATTATTTAGTCCGCAGAACAGTTCATTTGATCAGGTCCCCATATTTCTTCTCCTACACTTCCCATTTCTGGGATACTTCCTGGAATACTTAAGAGTTAGGGAAGAACAGGTTATGACTAACCTGATTCCCTGAGGAAGTATGCTGAGATAGTTTAATAATGCAATCTGATAAAGAAATCTGGACTCACTGTCATGGTTTATGAACTCAAACTCTCCTAATCTTACAAAATAATTCTTAGTAATAATACCTTTTAAAAAAATTCTTTGATAGCATCTTATTCTTGGGAAAAAGTTAATACAAACTGTTACACTCATGTACTGGAATACTTCAGTGTCCTTCACTGAATCTTTTCTTTTAAAAATATGGTCTGGTTAAAACCGAAATTAAATCAGGAAATCCTACAGTCTGTCTCACAAAAGTCTAGAAGATCAGAGCGGTCCTATTACACCTTGCAATCTCTATATGTAGTAATTATAAAGCATCTGCCAAATCATGGGTGGATAGAAATAAACTCAAGTCTGTTGAGCTAATATCTGTATGTCTGATATATAAGATGATAATAATTATCAGTGTATTCAAAAAATGCAAGGGGGCAGAATTTCCAGCCTCTGAAGATGGCACTCAGATGTTTTGTTCAGATGATCTGTGTTTCTTTGTTTTATTTTTGTTTTCTACCATCAGGAAACTACCTAATATTAATTCTTCAAATTTTGTTTTGAAAAGTAAAACACTGGAAAAATAAGAAATTAGTAAGCTTTTTCTAAGAAGTTTTCCTGAGGCTTTCAGTAAAAAAAATACCCCAACCTATTTATGCTCCTTTTCATGTTTATAGTTCTATAAAGCATAAGAATTTATTTCACTGCTAGTGAAGTGGCCAACTAACAGTTCACATATACTATAAAAATGTTTCCGGAGATAAAAGCCACTGATTTATGTGGGTGGATTAGAGTTGATTTGATTTGACAGCTTTTATGCTGGTGTGTACAAGAAAACTCATCGTATGAATATATTTCATCACTGAAAATAAAAGAGCTGTACTGAAAATGAGTGGAACAGGAAACTAGACTCCCTGATTACCTTGGACTGTTGGCAGTTGATTTTTACAAAGTAAATCACCATTTTCTGTAGTCCTTTCTACAGTACCAATGTGCACAGAAAGTAGTTCAAAGCAGCCGCGTTGGTTTGTGTCGCTTTTCTGTTTAAAAAAAAAAAAAAATCACAAACTCTCTTTTTTCTTCTACAGGCTTTAAACAGTTATAATCAAGGAGATATAGAAGGGTCAAAAAGACTGGGTCGCAATGCACTCTGGGTTGCTGTGGCATCAATTATCATTGGCCTTGTCATCATTGGAATCTATTGTGTAGTTCATTTCACAACGGTAAGCAAAATGCTACTAGTTCCAATGCAAGCAGTTCTCCTCTGTGCACGGGCCTCAGAATGTGAAACTGAAGGTTGTCAGAACTATCTACTAATGTTAAAATTTAGGGATGTGTGCATGTTTTCCAAAGGCGCGATTTTTACTTATTTTGCAATTCAGAAAATTCGAATTGTCCGTGGTCAAATGCGAACAACTGTGTCTTAGCAGCAGTGGATTTTCTAGAAACTCTTGCAGCTCCCAAAGGTTTTTCCAGTTGAGGCCAGTTTAACATCTGTAAGAGCAAGTGCATAGAGATCCTTAGATTTCAGGTAATACAGTCTCCAGGTGCTGATTTTCCATCTCACAATCTGTCCAACAGATCTTTTAGCTTTGCAAGGAGAAGATGACAGTCAATTGCTATTTTACTGTTTGATATTAAGGTGACCATAACTATACCAAAAGTGACTGTAAATGTACTTTTGACTTGGCTTGCTGTGGGATAAGGTCGTTTGCTCTCAGTGCTGTGTGACTGACCTGCAACAATAGTGAAGAAGCTCAACAAATAAATCTCTGTATACAGAGTGGTTACCCAGATGGACTGTGAGCTAAAGAGGACAAAAGTAATTAGGGTATTGATATCCTTTCTTAAGGTTGTGTGACAATCTGTTCTTTGCCCCATAGTAATGTGCACTTCCCATTAAAATAACCAATTTAAATCAATTTATTATTGGCTGTTTTGGCTGGAGAGCCTTTTAGTGTGCTGTGCAAACTTATGTATAAACTATAAACAGAGATCACCTCATCCACCACTGAAATGCAGACACCTCTGGGGAGTGGAATGGGGTAGCTGTTTAAACATGTACAACGTTTTCAGACAAAAATTTGAAGTACACCATGCTGAACTGCAGGGAGTTTAGTGGGATGGGGTCCATTTCGGTAGGATGTTAGTGGATGGTGCTGCAGAATCAGAAGCTTACTGTATATTCATTAATTTCTCATGCATTTTGCAAGCTGGATCTGTCTTTGGTTCAGCTTGTGTTCAGTTTGCTCAGCCCTCAGATTTCAAACCAAGTCACTTCAGGCAGGGTGTGCCAAGTTTTGTAATTGACAGCAGCAGTAAATTCCTCTGTTCGCTTCTACTACCTTACTCATCATTTCTCAGACAAGGATAGCAGCTCAATTTTTTTTTTTTTTTTTTTTTTAGGGCAGCCTGAGGAGTGGCAGACAGCACTGACCTGCAGCATTCACGTTAACCAGGGCACACTACCTGCATTTAGTTTTAGTCAACATTTCACTTCTGCTACAGCAGGACCCTGTGTGCTCAACGTGTGAATGCTTTTTTACACCCACTGCCAGGTATTAGTGGTAGTTAACACTTTACATCTAGTTAGTATTTGTACGCACCTCTCTCTTTCCTACCCTCAAGGAAGTAAGCAGCAGTAAATCAGTATAAGGTGACTTTATGGTTTTATCTTAAGCTTTGTCTCTTGCGGATTTTTAAAAATTGGTTTTGTGTTTGGGTTTTTGGGGTTTTTTTAAGAGAAAAATCTCTGTGTTAGGTGGAAGCATTGCCAGGTGCCTGGGAGCCCTCAGTGAACTGCTGGGATATTAATTTCTGTATTCAGTGAGTAGTTTCCATAGAGATTTGGCCAAATGGTACCTTGGGTTTTGTGAGGACTCACTGTTTACTGGGTTCACCCTGCTCTCTGGCTTTCCAGTCTCTTTATTGTTCCCTTTCTCCCTCTTACATGTCACACTCCAAAAAGCTTCTAGGAAGGTGTTTGATGGGAGCTATGATCTTCTTTATTTTTCTGATGTGAAAATGAGGAGCACCCAACTGCCCTTTCCAACCTCCACGCTTACCCGAGTCCCCTTTGCTGCCTTACTCTTGGACATTTATATTTTACATTAAATTGTCTTTGAGTTTGACATGCCACTGGTGTGGATGGCATTGCATTCTCTGTGCAGTTATCTCGCATCCATTTGTACCTTGGTCAAGATTATTTACTAACAGCTGCTTCGTACTCTGCTAATGTGAAGTAATGGTAAATTACTTCCATGCTAACTTTAATATATATGCTTCAGTATTTGTAAGATAGTACAAAATAGCCTAATAGAATAATATGATAGTTAGCCCTGTAACCGTTTGTTTACCATTAGGCACAGATTTGATGTTTCCATGACCTACACATGCATTTTTCCTGAAAGTTAATTTAGACATCAGCAACATGTATGAAAAGCTTGACCCAGGATTCATTACTGTGTGTTTTATCATGAAATTCATCAGCTACCATATCACCCCGTTGCTCCTGCTGACATTCCATGTGGTTTCTTTTGGTTTTCAAAGGACAAGTCTCATTGGAAATTACCATTGGGAGTACTCCCTTGTATTCTCCTTCCATATTCTGATGTATTTCTCCCTAGAGCTTGTTGTTTACCACCCTACCATTCCATTTCTGTGTTAGTACTTTATCTGTTCTCCTATGACTGTTAGAGCTTCTCACAGAGTGTTACTTGAGTATTCACAAACCCTGTGATAAATGTTACTAGCTCATTCTGGTTTATCTGTGGTCCTGCTAAGGTATAATGAGTTTGAGGGCTGGATGAGCCTTGAGCCTTGGGAGTTCTTCCACAACATCCTGGGTCTGAGCTGCTGGAAAGCAACAAACCTGAGACATCCAAGTCAGGTTGGCAGGAGGGAATCTCTATCAATTGTTACACAACTTCCCCTCTTGGTACAAAAATTTGATTCAGGCTCAGCTGACTCTGAAGTCTCCTTCAAAACAACTCCTCACCTTCTTCTAGGGGGCTGGCTACACATGTCCTGGAGGATCTGCAGGCCAAGAAGGAGCCTTCCTTCTCCTGCCAGAAGTCATAAACTTCAGGCCTTCCCCATCATGTAAGTCTCCATTCAGCTCTTGTTCAAGTGTAGTTTTCAGTTGTTCATCCTTTGCTTTGTAGAGCTCAGGCAGAGTCTCTGTGGAGACCCTGTTGGTCTCCTGTTTGTGCACGCTGATGGTCTGCAGTCTGCTCACCTCCTCCTGAAGCTCTTTTCCCTGGAGATGCAGAGCCTCAGAGTACCACTTCCACTGGAGAGCCACCAATGTCCCAGCCCCAAAGACAGGCAGCAGTCACTCCCCACAGCTGCACCTGGACAGCTACATCCTTCTTCCGAAGCTCCATCTGGGTCAAGGCACCTGATATGCCAGGCAGTTGCTCCAGCACTTTGGGGGATGTGCCCTGTGGTTTATCACCACCACTCTTGCACAGTCCCAAGCAGTCCCTTGCTGTCTTCAACAGAGTTTCTCAGTCTCCAGTGCAGACTCACAACTTAAGTGTCAAAAAACCTCTCTTTGCCGTTCTTGAGCATCTCTCATTGAAACCACTGTGAATTGAGCACTGAAATACTTCTCCATCTCTGGACGCAGATTCCTTCAGTATTTACTGGAAAGTAATTTCCTCTCTATGAATGGCATTTCTAGAAGACTAGTTCAATGAGGGCAGTGCCTAAATTGCGGAATTTCAGTAGCCTCTGGATATCAAAACCCACATGCCCTATTAAAAATTCCAACCAAAGTTATCCATTTGTTCCCACATCTCCTCTTGTCTCTTTTCAGTACCCAAAACTACTGTGTGTTCCATCTTGCTTCGGAAAGGGGTTAATACCTGTGCTTTAAGCATTGCTGAGGGAGCTCTTGTGGTACTTCACGTGCCTCAGCCAGGAGAAAAACATCTAGTCAGGAGTGTTGAGGGTAGATCTGGTAGAAGCTGCAGAGAGGAAGTGTAAGAAATTCCTGCTTTGAACAAAGAGTGACGTTATACCCCCAATTATACCTCCAGTAATACTGGTGGACTCAAGGGAGGCCCTTTCATTTTTTCATAAAACTCCTGCCTCTGAGCCCTGAGCTGCCTGGCGTGCTGCCTTTGGTTTATTCAGTTGCAGAGCAACAGTAGCACAGGAATAACAGCAGGCAACACCTACGTCTGCATGGAAGAAACAGCCTTGACTTTTTCATTTTGAAGATTAACTCAGTGCTAAGCCAACTCAGAGCTTCTGCTGCTGCCTTGGAGAGCCTCGTTTGTCTTCAACACTGGCATGTTATCTTTAGCAAACATATATCAAGATATATAGTGATACATATATATATATATATATATATATATATATATAGCCTGGAACAGGGCCCACCCAGCACTTGGGAACTATCTACCTTCTGCAGTCGTGACCCTGAATGTAGACAAGGGGAAGCTGTCACTTGCATCACTGGAGTTAACAGCCCAGCAATAAAACTGGTCTGTCTTGATCAATGTAAACTGGGGTGTTCCTCATTATGCTGAGGAATCACTGAGAGTTAAGCTGTGGTGTGTGCTGAATCAGGGCTGTCCCTCATTCCACACTTGGCCAAATTTATTCTTACTCCATTCCATAACTTTTACCCTCTCCTGTCAGCTTCTCCTGCACTCCTACCTTGCCAGTCCTGAATGCCTAATTACACTGCCACTGCTTGCTCAGATGTAAATTAAACCAATACTTGTGTTGCCACTGAGTCTAACCCTGTGTATGTTGTCCATCAAGAACTGCAGTGAGAAAAGGGATATATTTGATATCCTTCCATAAGAGGCATCACTACTAACTGAGACAGTGCAGAGCTGTGCGCCATAGCCTGCACGTGGCCTTAATCAGCTGTAACGTGCCTGGTTAGGGAGTGAATGGCAACCTAATGACAGGCGACGTGCAGCTGGAACCACATCCTGAATCCTGCCTCTAGTCCTGATGTCCTTGACTTAAGAAAGGTGCAGTGTGTGTATATATATATATATACACACTGTATATACACACAGTGTATATATATATATATATATATATATAAACACACATCCACACAAATAAAAACCAAACCAAAAAAACCCACAAAACCAAAAACAACCCCACCACCAAAAAACCCAACCCCACCAACAAAAAAAACAAAACACAATGGAGAGAAGGGCTGCAAGGTATGAAAAAACCTTTATATGTGGACAGACAAAATAGACACAATCTCCTTGGCTTGGGAAAGAAAGACTTAGGAACTGGTTGTTAAAGGCAGTGGAATAGAGTGATTATTTGTTGTCTGTTATGAATGAGATGAAGTGGCACCACAGGAAAACAGCTTTGAACACTGAGGTCCTTTTCCATGTGACGTACAGTGCAGCTGTGGGACTTATTCCTTCTGGTTGCTGTGGATAGAAAAATTACAAATGTCTTGAAACAGTAGCATATGAAGTTACAAAAAAAAAAAAAAGTTTAAATGCAAAGATGCAGCTACAATCTTGGGCTCAGGATGTTTCTAAACTGCAGATTGCCAGAGCTGGAAGGCAATAGAGGGAGAAGTATCACCCTGGACATAGCCTTTTCTCACACAGTCCCATCAGGCATTTGTAAGATGTCGCTGTTAGAGAGGAGGTGCTGCAAAGGCGGCTGCTGGCTCTGTCCCACTACCTCTGTTCTTACACTCCTTCATGAAGCCTGTTAGTAGCCTTTGCACTGACTTGAATGGATTTCAAGACAGCCTTCCTGTCTTTTCTTAAGTATTTTGATCAGCAAAAGCTAATAATTTTGTCAGTGACTGAGGGTTGTCCAGTAATTCATGATCTGTGTTTTCAGAGCAGTCTTCAAACTTTTGGAGCAGATTCCAAATTCTGTTTTGTTTTGCTTTTTGAATGCACAAGACTTTTGGTGTCTTTGGATTTCATTTGAGTCCTACTGGCAGGATTTAGGGAAACATAATCTTGGCTGGGACCTTCTTACTTAAGTGGAGGACACCCCAGGTATTCCAAACCCTTTTCTTAACTGGATTGCAACATGTCATATTCTACTTCATGCTACCACAGGAATCGTGCATTCTTATTCCATTGCTGGGTTTGCTGCACAGCCTGTTCGTCTGAAACAATGTGCAGCTTCTTGCAGCACATACTTTTACACTATCTCTAGCATCTGAGTGACACTTGACAAAGCTGCTCAGGGCAGAACTAGAGCTCACATAAGTTTTGTGTCCCAACTGAGCCACAAAACATCATACAAAGCCCATGTCTTCTGTGCACCTCTATAGTGGTGCTCTGCAGAGTAGGCATGTTGGGAGCGAGTCAACTAGAAATGTGGAGACTTAATAAGAGGTGTTAGAGTGAACTAAAGATATAAGCTTTTCTGTAGAGCTCTGACAGAGATGGCAACAGCTTTGCTATGAGGAAGGGTAGCCAAAATACTGCAGGAAAGGAATGCAAGAAACTCCTGCCAATGCACCAGTGTCCAAGACTTTTTAAATTCACATCAGAAGTTCATTGTTTTTGTTTATCTTGAACCCCAGGGCCACAGGAGGGTAGAATTATCTTCTGGTAATAACATGTGAGAAGGGTTGTTGTGTTCAGTGACTTCGGAATTTCATGCAAACCATTATGATATTTTAATGCTTTCGTAGAGGAGTGTGAACTTCTGACCCCTTCTTTAATCTCACTTGATCTAGAACTTCACCCCATGGGAGTCGCAGAAATACCACCTGTCAGCATGGCTTCAAAGGAAGACAGAGACACAGCCAGGCTGTGTGGAAAGTACTAGCTTATACTGTTTCATAACCAGTAGGGCCTTAAATCAAGCATATGTGCAGTAATACAACGTTGGTAATTACTGGTAGAAGGAAAAGGAGTAAGCATTTAGACTGTGCAATGGGGACAGATGTATATGTAAGTTTTTCTTACTAACTTAGAAATAATACTTCAGGGGGAAAAGGCATGCAAGATTATTTTTAAAATCTCTGCTGTCTCCTTCCTGAGACTCTCAAAAGCTTTGCAGCAGTTTCACTGAGGGACTGTCTCTCTTTCAGAGACAGAATAAACTGAGGGCCAGTAAGATGACAGGAATTACACAGCCAGCCTCCAGATCTTTACATTGGCAATGCTGTTCTCTGTACCTTACCATAGGAAAAAAGAGTCAAGGAAGACTACCTGCCTTCACTACAGGGACTGACCTGCTGCTAACTGATAGAGCACAAAGTCTGAAGCCAGGGAATTCCTGTCGTGTTCTACCCACATTAGTTATTGGTGTCCACCTAGTCAGTGAGCTCATACTGCTGCTTTTCTATCAGTAAGGGCACTAACTGGTTAACTCCTTGACACCCTACCTCTTTTTACTGGATTTGTCCAAATGTACGATCTTAAAGTCCTCTCTCTGCCAGATGTGTTCAATCAGCTTCAGAGGCTGAGTAGTGGCAGACATGTAGATGCACAGGGGCAATGTGATTATATCAACCTCATTTCCTCAGCAAGCCACATTAAAAATTCTGGTCCAGTTGTTTCATCTGCGCATGGAGGAAATGTCCCCACAATAGATTCTGCCCACTGGAGTCCTGAGCAGCATCCAAGAGACAATCAACACAGGAGTTAATGCTGTCTGCAGGATATACTTACTGTTTAGTGCCTCATGTCCTAAAACTCTCTTTAAGGAGCTGCTAAAAGATAGCTGCTTGATGGAGAAGGTATTTTGGACTCCGGCAGAGAGCTAGGCATCCAGGGACAAACCAGGGAGATCAGTACATCTGTGGGTGGTGTTTGAGACCTGCCAAGAATTTGGGGGAACTTCTCAGATCTTTCTTCTAATGCAGGTGCACAAGAGAGGTTACCCAGTCCTTTTTAAAACATCTGTCATATATTGTGGTTGTATTTACTAAGTTGTCTACTGCTACTGTTCTTGCCTGACTGTTTTATGTATCACTTCAAAGAAGCAGAGATGCTGTTGACCTCATGAAACTTTGTCAAATAAGAGCCTGTTTCCTGGCAATGAAAGATCCTAACTTGCATTGATTCAGGTAACCCAGTTTAAAAATTCAGCTCAGATTGACAGATGACTGGTGCCATTAGAAACATAGCTCTTTGATTCAACACTGTATTGAACCACTAATCTAGAGGATGTTTGTTAAGAGAACAAGTGCCACTAATGTGGCATAATGTATCCATTAGATCGGTAGAATTAATAATTTAATCTAACAAAGCAAACTCTCTGTCTTTTCCTCCTTTAAAAATACATATTTCTGTGTCCTTGCAGCATGCTATCTGAAGACCAGGACTGCACTTGGGGGATATCATCATGTTAATCTCGGGAGGGGAAACAGAAGAAGAGAAGGAAACCCTTCATTCCAGACTCTTAGATTCAACCCTACAAGTCTGCAGAGGAATGTTGCTGGTGGATGAACTGATAGTCCAGTTAGTTAATCAGCATGGCGTGACCAGGTTTTCAAAATTATTTATTTATAAGAAATTTCAGTATAAAGCAGCATTTTCTCTTTTACCCTCATGTATAATGAGATCTTGCCCTAACAACTCCCTTTTCTTTCTCATTTACATGGAATGTATGCTGGATCCATGATGTTCCCTGGCTGACCTTAGGCAGACAAAGCCAACATATCTAGACTGTTTATAGTCTGCAACATAAGATCTGATGCACAGCCCGCTGAAGCTAGTAGAAGAACTTCTGTTGCCTCCAGTGGGTTTTGGATCAGGCCATTAAGGATATTTTTATTACTTTAAAATAGTCTCAGCATAACACAATCGTAACCATGGGGTTATGATTTTATCCTGTTATGTGATTTTATAATGTCGTGGGCGTACTCTGACTCAGCGGCTGCTTTCTTCTGTCATCCTCAGCTTTTAGGTCTTTACCTTGGATTTTTAACCACCTGGGACCGATTTTAATCACTTGATTATTAAGAGACACTCTTCTTCCATAACATCCATATTTTTGTTGATGATTTATTTTTGTTTTGTTGTCTTTCATTGTTGAACTCCCTTGACTTTGCTCCAGTCCTGCATTAAAGTTGCACTGATCATATTTTCCTCTTTCAACTTCACATATGTAAAAAGTTCCTTTTTTTTTAACTGAAAAAAAGATCTTCTTTTTAAATAGATGTTCTTCTGCATCCCTTTGTTACTGTTCCTCTAGCAAGTCACATAGTTTCACTGTGTTCTGCTTTGTTCATGTCTTTTTGTTTAGTTCATCCTCTCATCTTGCTATGAATATTCTATATATCGATGCAGTTAGAGATGGACAGACTTTTGTACCCTCACATAGTTACATACACTCTTACTAATCCTAAGACATTACCCAGTGAACAGCCTTAGGTTACAAAATTGATGGCCTCTAAATTACTGCAGTTTCTTGATACCTTAAGAAAACTTAGCATGGGACAGCTGTTTTTTATTACCTGAAAACTATTGGAAAGAATATATTTGTTTTGTCACACAAATATTCCGTGTTAAAAGGAGTAAGCTCTGGTGAGCGCTAAGACAGATGGCTACATCTTCAGTGGTTGTTGCTCCATTTGCTTTAAATTGTTACTACATCTTCAAGCAAGCTATGCTGACTTACACTTACTCTCTTTGCACTAACATAAATCTGGACAGACTACCCAGAAATGCATGGGAGTTCTGCAGGTGCAAGTGAGAAAAGAATCATGCCTGGCAGGAGTACAACTACCTATTAAAAAAAAAAAAAAAAAAGGCTCCCAGAAACCTTTACCTGTTAAAACATATGCCTGGAAGTAGCATGCATTTTCTGTGCCTTGGTATTATACTTTTTATGTGCTTACTTGCTTTTCTTTCTGCCAAATTCTTTTTTTCATTGAAGTCAGTGATGCATCACCTATATCCTTAATTACTCCAGTATAAAACTTCACAAACACTGGTGAAATCAGTTGATTTCTTCAGCATTTATACTGATTGAATGTGTCCAAGTGGGAATCTTGCCACTGATTTTGATGATCCCAAGAATTGGCTGTTCTGTGAACTCCTCTTTTGTTTTTGAATACTCTTTCAATGGTCTGATATGTCTTGTGGGACTTTTGGTAGCTTGCCTTATTACCAGATATGATAGAACTGTCATTGAGAAGTGGAATAAAATTACTTTTAATTCATGTCCATTCTGGTATGTGGGAAGTGTCTTTCCTAAGTTTTGTTGCCTTTTCTATTTTAAAGAGTAATATCCCTTTTTCTAACCCCTTGGACAGTTTCAGAGTGAAATGGATCAAAGCAAAACCAGGATTTCAGACATACATGATCCTGTACAACCAGTCTGTAATGTAGCTAGTACATGCAGAAGTTGCTAGAGATCAGCTAATGCTCAAAATATCAGCAAGGAAGGCTCTTTGCTTCATTTTCAAAATAGCACCCAGAGAGTGTTGAGTGTTCAAAATGGTCCCTCGATGGTCTCCTCGGGGCTTTCCTACCATGAGGGTCAAAAAGTGGTCAAATGAGGTCACTGAACGAGGTGTCTCAGCAGGTAACAGAGGTCAGATCTTCTCCACCTTGAATTGCTGCATATAAGTAAACGCCATTGCATTGCTGTAGTAACAGTCCTCTGTGTCAGTGTACTAAAAGTCAGAAAGGGTGTACCAAAAAAAAAGTGTTTCATCCTTCTGCAGAATAATAAACTTTGGTACTGTAAACTAAACCACAGCTAGTGGTGTGAGAGGGGAGAAAGATTTCCAAAGTTATTCGGGCAATAGAGAATCGGGATAGGCAACTTGAGGTATTTTTTGAAAGTGCCTGGCAAGGATTTAGATCAATAGGAGCTAGACACCTGACTTGTTCAAATGCTTTTGAAAACCATACTGGAAATCTAACTTGCATCTTGGTGCTCATAAATATCTTTGAAGTCTCGCTCTTAATATAATTGAGAATTGAGCCATTGTTTCTTCAGTGCTTCTGAAGATAAATGTTGCTACCTTACAGTGCTATTGATTGGTATAAAAATAAAGGCTTTATATTAAACCACTTAATGTGACAGGGAGGGGGAAATGCAGCAATTCCTCTAATGTCCTTTAGTGCTTCTATGTCATAGGTAGTCTTATTTTTGCTTTACTAATGTACTGGTATCAGTTCTCTTAATTTATTAATGTTGACATAAATTTTCAACCATGTTTGTGAAATGCAATGAAACTCAGCTTGTGCTGGAAATGAATATGGTCCTTGTATAACCAAATCATTCTGTTGTAGGTATGACAGACGTGTACGAAGTGAGGTATCAAGCATAGGGAAACTAATTATATTTTACTGGCCAAATCAGCAAGACCTCTGCCAACAGCAGTAGGTGTGGAAGGCAGAATGCAGTTGTCTGACTGAGGAATTAGTGCCTGCTTTATATTTTGAGGGGCATATAAACAAATTCTAGTATCTGTGACAGACTTTGAAAATTACCTGCTCTTCATTGACATGCATCTAGATTTGGATTTGGCCCATTATTATTTGCATTGCATCTGCAATTTTTGGTGGGGGAAAAAAAAAGAAGAGCTGCCATATGTATGCTCTGAATGATGTTATTTCATGAAAGGGGGGCGGGGAGCGGTAAAACATATTTCAGCTCAACATCTGTGTCCTGGGCAGGTAAACAGTCTTCCTTCCACAAAGCTGCTCCAGGCTTCCATTTTTTGGTGCAGTCTTTCTGCATGCTGAATGCACCAAATAATGCCTGAAGTCCAGGTCTCCCTTCCTTCCTGTGTGTATTACAGGCAGAGACAGATGGAAACTTGAAATTGCTGGCCTCAGCTCCTGGATCATGTTAGCATCTTTCACTTCTTACAGGGCAGCTGCATTCTGCAAAACAGCAGTGTGCATGTATCTTGATATGTAACCCTAGAAGAGGGCTTCTAAATATAAGAGGAGTTTCTCTGCTACCATATGAAGGGGGTCAGCCAGACACTTAAACAACATGCAGGGTATGTTTCATCAGATTGCACAGCAGAAAAAAATCAAGGGGACAATATGAAATGAAATTCTTCGGGTGTCTCACTGCAGGCTCGCCCAGGAGTTTACAGGTTGTGACTTGAAGATCAGCAGTGGCTCTTCAATTGATGAGGTTGCAAACACAACCCATGAACAGTTTGGCTCGAGTCTTCAGAAGCTGTTGCTTTTGTAGCTGTATCTTTGGATACGTGCTCACAGTGTGAACTGTGTCCTGCCTCTCAGCCTGGAGACAGGTTGCATCTGATTGCTACCACAGTGTCCATCGCTCTCAGAATCAGTCCAGGTGCATGTGCTGGAACTGTGTGCAAGCATCTCTCTAGGCTCATTTCCGTACCTGGACCCCCTAACTTTGTCTGTCAGCTATCTAAGATGGATTTTGTTATTGCTTTGCATCAGAAGGGGAGAGACTGAGTCATCTTCCCAGTTAGTTTTTATCTCGAGTCCACTGTGTGTGCACACATGCACAGGAGGATGCCCTTGAAGGACTGGATTCTCCAAGGCAAGTAAGATTTAATATGAAGAATCTTATGATGAGTTACTGGATTGATTCAGGGCCAAGCTTGTAATCCACATCCTGGTTACCTGACAGCTGTTCAGGAGCCTTTGTAGAATGTGTTGTTTCATGGAGGGAAGAGCCCATATCACCACACCTTCACTCCAGATAATGGGGTAAACTAAGAGGAAGTTGAATACCTGTGGAACCTACCCTGACTTTGGACGAGATACCTCCAGGCAAAGTCAGAGACGTCAGAAGGCCTGTGCAGGGTAGTCTGCATGTCTGCAGGGCTGCAGCTCTTCTGAGGCTGAGCCCTCAGTATTTCATGGGTAGTACCATCAGGCTGAAACACTACTTGAATGTTGGTTTCCTTTTGCTGTCCTCCCATCTCCAACCTCATTTTTAATTAGTAGGCGTCTGAAGGTGTGCAGTGTTATGTTGGAGTAGAGGAATTGAGAGGAGATGCAATGGTCTACGAGTGATTTTTATGTGCGCTCACAATTTTCCGCTTCCCAAGCACAACGGCATGTTCTGCATGCACAGCAACGGCATGTGTCCCTGAAATGTGAGTGAGCCTTTAAGGAGGCTGCCCAACTTCCTCTGCATCACTCCCTGGCAGCCTGGCTAAATGGGCTAAATTCAGAAGTGACCTAAAAGGAGGATGGGGTTGGGAAACAGATCACTCAGCCAATGTAAAGATGGAGGAACAAACTTGGGAGCCCAAGACAGAAAGGAAGGTTATAGTAAGAAATTCAACTGGAAGGCTTTTGCAGTTAAATTTATCCTGTTTTGAACTGTCGGATACATTCTGCTGCTGCTGCCACCTAACTCGCTCTCTGTGGCACAGAGGCTACAAGAAGCACTTGCTCACGTGTCCCTTATAATGTGATTTATGGCATGTCTGAATTTGATCTACCAGCTCATGACTGAGGATGGCTCTTCTCTTCTTGTCATATCTAACTGTAGGGCTGAGTCAGCTTCCACTTCACTTGCAATGACTTGGGCTAAATAAGCTTGCATTGTGTCAAGCAAAAACCTTTGCCAGATACCAGCAGATTCATGAGGACTTTAAACTGCACAGTCTGAGACTTTAGCCCAATGCATTTCTTTTTCAATACATACTCTGGGGTAAGAGAAAAGAAAACTCCACTGAAATTAAGGAATGCACACCGGAGCAGGCTGTGTGGTAATGGTGAAGCATGGCAGCATCGTGTACCCATATCTCAACCAGTGTCCAGTGGGGACTTAATTGCCTTTTGATTTTAACCAACTCCAGGAGATAATCCAAACAGTGAAAATGAGATTCTGACCTAGAGCACAAGTGGTCGATGAGTGCCATCCCTTCTGTGGGGCTAGCACAAGTTTAGCCTTGACTTTTTGTGCCTTCAGGTTTGAAAAGATGATTCTTCACCCCTTTTAATCAAAATCATACATTCTCCTAATACTGGTCTCTCCTGACCTCAGATATATCATTTGGTCCTTACTTTCTTTAAAAATGAGTCAGCTGATGAAGAAAGATGGTAAGTGATATCTCTGAGGGGGTAGAATGACTCAGTAGTAAAGATATCACTTCACTTGACCCCTCAGCCTGTACATCACCGAAAGTGCTCTGTCATGATTGTTAGAACTTTGACAAAGTCTGCTGAGTCTCATCATCTTATGAGCCAAGAACCAAAATGCCTTAAAATTAATTTCTGAATAAAATGCTTCATGTGAGTCTTAATAGTCAAGCCAGGTGTAGTTCATGTTTATTAAATAAGGTAGATGTGAGTAGTGGTAGGAGCTGACCTTTGCTTGTGGCTGGTGACATGGTAAATAACACAGAGAGCATGTGGCTTTTCATATCCTGCAGGTATTTTACAAGCATCTCCTTTTAAAACCTCGCATTGCCCAGTGAGGTGGTGTAGCACAGTCATGACACCTGATAAAGCATTTAATCGATTACTTTTATCTTGTTTTATGGATTATGGACAGTCTGAAAGCAGACTGTGCTTTTATTTTTTTTTTTCCCAGGGAATTTCTTACTCAAAATTATCTAGTTACATTTCCCCCTGATGCTTTTATCCTCCAGCCTGCCATTTGCAATGATTTGTGATTTGCCATACTGTTGTGATTTGCCATACAGTTTCCGTGATACCACCACTTCTTTTTCCTGAGCAGACAACATAAGTCCTAGGGCATTCACATGGTTGGTGTGATTGCTAGTACCAAAATTTCATATTTGCTTTTGTGATGTCTAAATTTAATGTTTGCTTAAGGTGAGTATTTGTTCCATGGAAATGTGGGTAGTGAACACAAGCAGGGTCCTGAATACACCAGAGTAAAATAATCTGCAGTTCTGAATTCGTATTTAACTAAAAGATTTTGCAATATTCACCCAACCTAGCGCCACCTTCCTTTGGCTGATGGAAAGCTAACAGCTAAAGGCAAAAGTAAGAGTCTTCTTGAAGGTTATGTTGGCAGCTAGTGTGAGAGACAAGGGGAATATTTTTATCTAATTCTTTCTTTCCTTCTCAGTGACGGTGCTTACGGTCACTATTCTTGGGCATCCCCCAGAATTGTAAGGCAATGTACACAGCTAAACAGTTAAGGAACAAATTATTCCGGTACCAACGTCAGGAGTGCTTAGCAAGGGTTAGGCCTAAGTGGTCTCTTGCTATGTCCCCCATCTGAGAG